AAGTAACATCAAAATGTGTCATAAAAGCTGATTTTAAAGCGTGGATACGTCAGCAAGTTTTATGAGAAAAGGAAATGTTACCTTCCTGATATTTAGCTCATCCTACTATAATACAAAGCTAAAAGTTTTTGGAATTACTTGGCATTAAATAAGCTATCAAAAATCACGAAGTGCAAGTTCTAATGTTCAAGCATTCGAACAGTTTATTGCAGGATAGCAGAAAAACAGAGTTAGGCGAACATCAGCTTACATTTCCCAGTAAATAGCCCATGTCAGACATCAACCACGGAATATTTTAATGAAATGGTCCCACTCCTTCCTAAAGAGAATATTTCTCAGATTGTATATGTGAACTTACTGTATATTCCCATTCAGAGCTTCAGCAACAGTCTTCAAGCTGCACATAGCTACTTAAATCACATCTAGCGATGTAGCAATGACAAGCATCAAGATATTTTAAAGAACAAAAATTATTTCATATTTTATGTAATGACCAAAATATACTAACAAATATCAAATATAAATAACAACAATTTCAAATGGAAATGCCCCCTTTTCATGATAGATGAACCTTACCTGATGAATAAGTAGACATTATGCAATATAATCTCACTGAGATATTTTCCAAGAACTTCAGCTACTATTTTAGGGCCTCATTAATGACAGAGATGACATTAGACTATCTTATAAACCGTGGACTTGGAACTTGAAACTACGCTTCTCTACGCTTTTATTCTTCCCAAACTTGTTGCATATACATAATAGCTTGTGAGTTGGATGGCCAAACCTTCTTTATACAATTACTTGGTAAATTCATCTGTACCTCTTGCTTTATCAGCTCTTGGTTCCTCAGTTAGCTAATTTCAGAAAGCTCTCTGAGGCTTCCTTTTGAGAGCAAAGCTGTAACAATTCCCAGTCAAAAAAAAAATTCTTCTGAAGCCCTTCACTAATCTCTAATGCAACAGGATATGCATTTAAATTGTTTAATCACTTGTTGGGCTAGATTATTTTGCTACACAGACACCAAATTAATTGGGATCTTGGTTATCTTATTGCTTTAGTCCATAAGGTGGCAGCTTGACATTTCTAGATTCCTTGAAAACCCATTTTCTGAATTTGCTGATTTTTGTTATCTTATGTAGCTATCTAAGAGTTTACAGCCTCTCCAGGAGTGAGGCAAAACACACTTCTTTATAAAGCTGCTGAGTTCTGCTGCTATGGTGTCTCCTGGTTCTGTAGCTCTGGAATTGTTTTTAGGCACAAGGCAATAATGAAGTGCCAGAAGGGAAGACTCTGGTGCTGCACTGAGCCACATGCAAGCAGGAGCTTACAAGAGCTAAGGATGTTGTACCACATCCAAGAGCTGAAAATGGCAGCTTATTCATCCTAATCAGCTCAGGGAATTAATAACTAAGTAATATTAGTATAAACCAGCATGAATATTAAAGAGAAATAGATTATAATTCTAATTGAAACTATTAATGTAATAGGCAGTTTAATTGCTCTACTGGCAGTAGTCTGGAGAACAGAAGTGTTCTGTGGAAGGGAACTCCAGCAGCCCCAGAACAGCAGACTCAGCCTCCTGGGGAAGATCAGATCATCTCTCTTTCACCAGATCTCCTCTCATAATGGGGATGGTGGTGGCGGCAGCAGTGACAACAAAAAGGGATGAAGGATGCTGACTTGTTCAGAACAGCAACAAGCATTTCCTTGAGCTTACTTAAGATAAGAAAGATAGAGGTGACCCATATTATTCAGGTTGAAAGGAGAGAAAATCAAGATTCTAACAAGTGAAGGCATAAATGTTAAAAATAAAACCTACACCTCTATTGCAATATTATAGAAGGAGAGCAGAAAGAACCAAAATAAAGCAACAGCAACCAATTTAAACAAGAGGTCCGTAAGTTTAATTTTTTTCTCATTTGGATTATCCAATCTATTCAGGCTCTGACCTCAGCATGAACATAGTACAAGGAGATCAGATTAGATCACATTAACTTGTGTTTGAAGGCTGCTTCTGATTGACATTGCTACTCGTTCACATATTTGTACACTTCATTATTCATTCTCTGCTGGTAATTCCCAGGACTTCCCTCAATGAAGTGTGGAACAGTGATTTTCATACACATTAGAAGGGATTCAGAGCAAATCATAAGCAGTAAGAAACAAGATGATTTCATTTATGGCTTTGGCAAATGCAACTAAAATCTTCTTGTTTGCCTTTGTACATAAATCTTGCCAGAAGCCTAAGAAAATTTCAAGAAATGCCTATACATGCTGCCTCCATCTCTATAATTGGTTTAAACTCCTCACCCTCTCTGTATAATGATTTGGCTCTGGCTATTCTGCTACACACACCTACCTCTGTTTCTCTTTATACAACCTACCTTATGTAGTCCAAACAAATCATTTCACTTGGACTACCAGACCTGCTGTTGGCAATGCAATGACAAAGCATACTAAGAAGACATTGAAAGTGTTTATCCACTGGACACAAAACTAAGCACTTTGGCTCATATCTTGGCTGTATCTTCTGGGAGTGAATTTCCTCTCTTGCCATGCTAGATGGTTTGCTAGCTCCTCCTATTCCCTAACATTTCTTTTTAGAATCATAGAATCATAGAATAACCAACTAGAAGGGACCCACACAGATCGAGTCTAATTCCAGCTCCATACAGGACAACCCAAAAATTCAACCCTATGACAGAGAGCATTGTCCAAACGCTCCTTGAGATGTATCAGCGTGGGGCTGAGTCCACTGCCTTGGGAAGCCTGTTCCATGCCCGACCTGTTAGCTAGCACTGCTCCAGAGAGGACTCTGCTTCCTGCTGAGATGACGAACCCATAGAGGATAATCAGGGACAAACTGGAAAAGTGGATGTCCCATAAGCATCTATAAAACTAGGAAGGACTCAGACCTCCTTGAACTTCTGAGCCTGTGAGAATGTGGCTGCTGCAATATTTGCACCACAGATATTCTGCATCAACCAACTATATCCCATATCAGCAACCTCTTCAGAAAGATCACCACAGACACCAAGACTACTGACATACAGCATTTCAAAACCAGTACATTTTAAAATGTTTCAGAATATGTTTAAGGAGAGCTACTAAAATGTCCATCGGCACAAGCAGAAGTGTAATTCCATTTATCTCTTACATGTTGAGTGTCTCCATCTTACAGCTGAGATTATGAAGCAGCAGCCAACCCACCTGCTCAGACTCACCCTGCCTGCCTGCCTTCAGGTGCAGTAAGCTCTTGGCTTGGTTCTGGGATAAATGAGACAATTCTATGCAATGCTTCTACACAAATATTTTGGGCTCCTTCTGAGAATCAGATCATGTCATTGTTGGTGCAGTTATATCCCTCAGAAGCAATGTCATGCACAGCTTGTCTGTGTTCCTTCCCGCTATTTTAAATGCCTGAGCATGATTTTTACTAGAATTAAATGCTTTCATAGGAGGGTACGTGGACTGTTTTCTAAGAAGAAACCAAGCCAATACCCCTGAGCATTCACTTCACTTTTACTGATTAGTCTTGTCACCAAACTTTATAATGTATTTTCCATTAGTTTGGCTGGGTGCTTCCTAATACAAGAATCATTACTAAACTGCCACAAGAGTTATCAAAAATTGTCAGAAACATAAAAAAAAAAAAAAATAAAAATAAAAAAAGCACCAGATAAGTGTTAACACAGATTTATACAGCAGGCTACAAGTGGAAGCATTTATCAGACTGGCAGGAGACCTGAGCATGTGTTTGCATGGAACCTCAAAAAGCAGTAATTTAAAATCTGGCTGAAGGTGCACGAGAAATCATCAGTGAGAGCATTTAACTTCTCTGAAATAAGAGAACTAAGAGATAAAAGCTTGGATTATGCGCTGAAAGCAAAAACACTGATGCAGTACCTGTGAAAGTACGTCTGTTAATTCTCTCTCAGGTCTGAAAGGCTGAGGTTGCACCGTTTCACAAGGTGGATACTCAGGCAACATAAGAAAACCCCGTTTTAAATTCTCCTTTTCTGCCAACGACAGCATTGAATGACGCAGTGGATTTATGCTCCTGTGAATACAATCCCTCAGATTACAGGGGAGATACAGAGCTGAGGGTCTCGTTAAATTGCCTCGATGGTTTTTATTGTCCCTTGGATGTGCTGAAGGGCTGAGCGTGATGCAGTGGTGAACGGTGAGTGTTTGCACTGCAATTTTCCAGCGTGTGGTTACAAAGACTTGAGGGCCCATTGGGCTCCTAACTGCCAGTTTCCTTCTCTGCCCCGAAATCCAGACAGGACAGGGAGCTGCTGTGTGAACCGGTGAACTCTCTGCTCCCAGGAATGCTGATTGCCATCAGCCGGGTCAGCAAGACTGAAACAAGGAAGCAAAGAGAGCGAGGAGGGTAATGCGCTGCTTCTATGTGGCTCCGAGCCGGGTGTGCTGCCCTGCAGGGCTGCACTGGGCATCACAGACAACCCTCACTATGAACAGAGGACGGCAGGAATGGGCAGATACAGTGTTGCGAGGGGAAGGGAAGGGAAGGGAAGGGAAGGGAAGGGAAGGGAAGGGAAGGGAAGGGAAGGGAAGGGAAGGGAAGGGAAGAAGAAAAAAAAAAAAGGATCATAAGATTCGGAGTTTTCTGACTACATTTCAAAACTTCCAGACAGTGAAATGCGCAACTGAGAACCGAATCCCGTGGGGTACTCCTGAAGACCTATCTTCTATGGCAGGTTCCTTCATTCCAGAGGATAACTTCGCACTGTCCACAGTAACATCGTAGGCCGGCAAAAGGCTGCCGTCCCGTCCGGAGGTCCGAGACGACAACCCTTCGTCGGCCCCGGGGACGAGGCGAGGCGTGGCGGAGGGCTGCGTCAGGCGGCGGGCAGCCACTGGCACGGGAGCTCCCCCCGCCTCGCCCCCCGCCGCGGGGATAAAGGCGGCGGGCGCGGAGCCGACGGAGCTCGGCGGGCAGCGGGCGAGCAGAGCCCCGCCGCGCAGCCCCGTCCATGAGGCTCGGAGGCGGCGGCGGCGGCGGCAGCAGCCCGCGGGCGGCGGGCCTCCCCGCGAACGGCAGCCGGTGGCGGGGGGCTGAGGAGGGCGGCAGCAGCCCCAGCCCCGAGGCTTGGTCGCGGGCGCCCAACGGCAGCGCGGGCGACTGGGACCCGTTCGGGCGGGACGAAGAGCTCGCCAAGCTAGAGATCGCCGTGCTGGCCGTCACCTTCGCGGTGGCGGTGCTGGGGAACGGCAGCGTGCTGCTGGCGCTGCGGCGCACCCCGCGCAAAGCGTCCCGCATGCACCTCTTCATCCGGCACCTCAGCCTGGCCGACCTGGTGGTCGCCTTCTTCCAGGTGCTGCCGCAGCTCTGCTGGGAGGTCACGCACCGCTTCCACGGCCCCGACGGGCTCTGTCGCGTCGTCAAGCACCTGCAGGTGTTCGGCATGTTCGCCTCGGCGTACATGCTGGTAGCCATGACCGCCGACCGTTACATCGCCGTGTGCCACCCGCTGAAGACGCTGCAGCAGCCCACCAAGCGCTCCTACGCGATGATCGCGGCCGCCTGGGCGCTCAGCCTGCTGCTCAGCACCCCGCAGTACTTCATCTTCAGCCTCAGCGAGGTGGAGCGCGGCTCGCGGGTCTACGACTGCTGGGCTCACTTCATCATGCCCTGGGGGCCCCGCGCCTACGTCACCTGGATCACCGGCGGCATCTTCGTGGCTCCCGTGCTCATCCTCGCCACCTGCTACGGCTTCATCTGCTTTCGCATCTGGCGCAGCGCCCGCGGCAGAGCGCGCCCCGGGGAGGCGGCGGGCGGCGGCCCTCGACGGGGGCTGCTCCTCGCCCCCTGCGTCAGCGGAGTCAAAACCATCTCCCGCGCCAAGATCCGCACCGTCAAGATGACCTTCGTCATTGTCTCGGCCTACGTCGTCTGCTGGGCGCCCTTCTTCACTATCCAGATGTGGTCCGTCTGGGACCAGCGCTTCTCCTGGGTCGGTAGGTGCCGTCGGGGACCACGGCGCGGCCGCCGTCAGGGTTCGGGAAGGGTCACGGCCTCTCCCCCGAAGCACGTCGGAGCCGGGGCGCCGCTCTGCAGGGGCGTTCGGGGCCCGAGGGGCTCCCGGAGGGCGCTGCACAGCCGGGTGGAGGCTGCAGGAAGGTGTGCTGTCGGTGTTGCAATGTACTCACCGTCGCGAGTGCCAGTGCGGGCGGGGAACGCGCTACGCCCGCTCCCCGGCAGCTGCCTCCCGTACGCATTCTCTGCTGTCTAATAATGTGGCTGAGCACGTCCTGAGCCTTTCCTCAGAGTGCTCAGCGCTGAGCATCTCTGCCGGTCACCCCTCTAGTGCCTTAGAAAAGTGGAATTCCGAGGCTTGGAGCTGCACATCCCTCTGTTAATTCCAGCTGGAAATAATTGCCGAGCTTAAAACATTTAGGTGGGGGTTTACAGGCAGCACAGGAACACATACCTGTTTCCTCACGGTGAAAAAAATGCAAATCAAGATGTTGGAAGCCATAATTTCGCTTTATTTAGTATCCCCAAATTGTCACTTGCTGTAGCGAGGATGTTGATTACCACGAAGGTGAGACTGAAGTCATGCCAGGGATGCAGGGTCATGCAGTGAAATAGAGGCTTGTGTTGTTTTGTTGTTTTTTTTTTTTTTTTAACTTTCAAAATCACAAGAATAAGTCTTTACAAAGGGAAGAACTGATTATACCATGTATATGCAGTGCTTGGTAGTTTAACTGATGAGTAGATGCAGAAGGCCATAACTGGTGGCACAGTGCTCGCTTCTGTTTGTTCCTTCAGTAAAATGTGTTCAACCTCTGAAATGGGAATTTGATTTGGAAGCTGCCAGTTACAGAGCTCTTACCTATTTCCAGCATGCAGAAGTGCGTAGGAAAATCTGGTACAATTGAAAGCAGGGGGGAATCAGCGGGGATAGTGCCATTGATGCCCAAGGTAGCCAATTTTTAAGGCAAAAATCGGAGTAAAAACTGTTCAGTATTAAGCACAGACTTATCATCAGTGGAAATGGACTGAAGCATTATCCTGTGCCTGCGGGCTGTACTGGATTGCCTTGTACTTCTATCAGGTTCTTGCACCTGTTCAGACAGATTCTTATAGACTTCAGTGGGGGCTGCATGTAAGTAAGAACTTTCCCTTATTACACCCTCGTTATTATTTTCAAATGTTGTTGCTCAGGTCAATACCTTGTAGGAGTGGGATTATTCAGCAAATTAAAAAAAAATTTAAGCGTTAAGAAGGCAATTGACGGAAAGCTAAGAATGTTTCAGTGACGGCCAAACCTCTTTCTTTCCTCCCACAGACTCTGAAAACACTGCAACCACCGTCACTGCCCTCCTGGCCAGCCTGAACAGCTGCTGCAACCCCTGGATCTACATGTTCTTCAGCGGGCACCTCCTACAGGACTGTGTGCAGAGCTTCCCTTGCTGCCAAAAGATAAGGCAGACGCTAAGCAAGGAGGATTCAAACAGCAACAGCAGGCGACAGACTTCTTTCACCAACAACCGGAGCCCGACGCAAAGCCTGAACACCTGGAGGGAGTCTCCCCACTCCAAGTCCACCAATTTCATTCCCGTGCCCACCTGAGGCCCTGGGCAGGTGGGCCTGAGCACGTGGGGCTGGGCATGGGCACCGGCCATGGCAGCAAGGAGGGACAACGATGGCCACAGGCCGACATGTGTTGCCTTGCTTGGTGAGCTATTCTGCAGCCTGTAAGTTGTTGTGTGAAAGGTATTTAGGGCTTGGGCAACTGATCAGAAAGTCATGACAATAATAAAGCGATTCTTTTTCTAAATAGAATTTAATCTTCATTTTATTTTTTGTTTCTGAAGCAATACGTGTGCTACTTGCTCATGCCAAGCAGTACAAATGGCAGAGTTGGCCTACATGGGGTTAACCTTGCTCTCTAGCATTTCACGCCTAAAACTTCTCACACACAGAAAGAGAATGCAAAAGCAGGATCACAATTTGGTCTGGAATACCAACAGGAAGGAGTTGGAATAAAGTCCTCACTGACCAGACTAGGACAATTTAATGACAAAATGTAACAGCCTTTGAAAAGGCAAATCCTCTGTCCATGACATGCTACTGCCCATGTATGTATGTGGACTGAGGTGTTTGAATTTTAGGGTGACATCTCCTCTTCGTGTTGATGGAGGCTACACAGCATTTTTGTTTGATTTGTTCCATCTGTCTTTAATTTTTGTAACTAATTTAAAGAAATACTGCCATATATCAGTATCACAGAATTACAGAATCGAGGTTGGAAAAGACCTTTAAGTCCAACTGTCAATGCATGACCACCATGTGATATCACAGTGAATTCAGTTCCCAGTACTTTCCCTCAAAAATGGACACTGAGAATGTTGTAGACAAAAGGATGCAATCCCCATTGCTTGGCACTATCATCTCTCAAAATTAAAATGAGATCCAGAGCACCACTTAGCAGCCAAGCTCATGTAAGGCAGGCAATGGCATCTGGGTCTGAGGGGTAGGGAGTCGATATGGTAAGTTTTGATTAGCTCAGCATTATTGCAAACAGACACACGAGGAGAACTCATCACAACTCCCAGAATCACTGTGGGAAATAGTTGTATCTCTTCTTTTTGTCTTCACAATGACAGCTAGTATCAAGCTGCATCTGGTTTCTAAGTAAATAGCCCCATCAATCTGGGGGAATGTTACTATTTGGTAATGATGGTAGAATCAGTACATTCCAAGACACAGTTTTGGGAATTAAGCTTGCTGGGAATGTCGATAAAAATTGCCAGTTATTTATTTGTGACAGATGATGGCAATGTGGGCTGTGAAAATGGCAGTAAACTACGATAAAGTCACCACACTGCATTACCTAATTGTCAAGCACTCAAGGTGAGTTTGCTTCCACTACCATGCATGCCAAGCCAAAAATAGTTCCTACTACTTCTAAATAATCCTGTTCTGTCTTTGTGTGGAGACCGTGCTGTACCTGGTTTGAAGATCCCTGAGTAGTTTTTGCTGTGTTATCAAAATCCTGAAGACCTCTTTTATGTGTCTTGCATTTACAGTAGTGAAACCAAAAAGAGACCCATTCCTGTTCAGCCAGCATCTGTGTGATGCTCTGTTCCTCTCATCCGTTATGCTCTGTTCTCCCCATCTGCTCCACTTTCCTCAGCTGTTTGGATCCCAATATCCAGTTGTTCCCCTGGCACCACATGGGACTCCTGATGTGGTTCCATCTGGCTGTATAAAATGTGTGTGCTTCTGTTGGCAGTCAGAAACTTGAAAACACTTTTTCCCCACCAAACCCAGACAACCAAGATTATTTTCCTAATATCTTGAGGAGAAAAAAAATGGGGCTGCAATGGTAGTTTTCGCAGAGGATGAGGCAGGCCCCATACTTCTCTCAGTAGTGGTAGTGGAAATTAGTAGAACTGAATGACGGATAAGACCATAAGCAACCCATCATTCACTCCACAAGCTCCCAGCTGTATTGCTGGGCACTGAAAAAGGAAGAATATTCCTCAAAAATGAGAAATTAAATAACAGAAAAGTGAGGTTTTGTTTTCACCTAAGAAAATTGTAGCCCTTTTCTCCGTACTTTTCTTGGTATTTTCTGCACTCCAGGGGAGCAATCTGTTCTGGTTTGTTCTTGGTGGTGCCTAAAACACTAGAACCCAAAGGACGACATGATGGACTGGATCATATTTGGTGGGCTGCCTTTTTGGTCACTATTACTATTACAGATATGACTGCAACTCTCACCAGTTTTGGGTGAAGGTATATGACAAATAAGTTACATTTTAGTCCAAAAAATGCATGAAATGGAGCCCTGTGTGTATTTGTGCGTATCGTATATAGTGCCTATACTTCACAAGTGGGTAATTCACAATTACTGGAATTACAGATGTCTCAAGTATAATACTCTTTGCCTGGTTTTATATTTGTATTACATATGGTCTGTACAAAATTTTCATGTTTGCTGATTTGAGATGCTTTTGTATTACACATTTTATTCAAGCAGAGAAGACTGAGAAAACAAGTATACAATAATATTGATTGTAAAACTAGGCTGGGTAATGACTAGTAGATCAAAAGAGTAGACTGGCTCAAAATTATAATTTTCAGCTTCTTCCAGGTGAGTTACAAAGCCCAGGCTTATATTTGGGGCATGTCAATGTAAGTGTACACTGTGAGTGTTCTACGTTTTCTGTAATTAAATCAATAAAACAAATTTGGAGTATTTGAATTCCAGGCATTTTTGTAAATACCAACTTTTGTTGGTTTGTTCTTTCGTTTGCTCATTTGTTTTCACATGATTGTAACCTTGGAAAGTACAATCCGTAATTTTTTAATTGTTCATCAGTACAGATGCTTTTTTTTTTTCCTTAACAGCTGCTTTGGGTTCTCATGAGGGCACACTGATGAGAATGGAAGGATACAAGAAGCTGTGAAACCATGACACTTTTAAAATATGGCAACATGCTTTAATAAACTCATGTATGTTTGATGACAAGTATTTTGTTTCTTTCACTTGTCTAGATTTGCACGACCAGAAACATATTTGGTGATACTCCACATATTTTACAAAATGTAACATTTAGTCATCAATTTTGATGTGTTATTTCCATGGTTTTAAGGAGGAAGCAAATCTAAAATGCTTTTTCTGTCACACATCCAGCAGGAAGGACACATCCAAAGAAGGAACGTGCAGTCCATTAGTATGGAGGTGTTATTTGGATATTTTTGTTCTAATCTCAGTGAACAAAACGTTAAGCTCTTATGAAAACCAATATTGAACAGGTGATTTTACACTCTGGTGTTCCCAGAGATGCTGAATTTCAGCAGTTGAATGTCAAAAGTGGAGCATGTGTGATGATAGAAAAGACAGAAAAGATGTTGTTCTTCTAAATAAGAAAGGTAAGTGCCCAAAAAACCTTTTTTTTTTTTTTTTTTTTTTTTTTTTTTTTAATTCATTTCTTTTACAAACTGTAGGCAAATGCAAAAGTTTTTTGTTGTTGTTGGTGGTGGTTTTTTTGCATTACCACATAAAGACCAAAGTCTTCAAGAAAACACAAGTTCATGTGGCCCAGCCTTGCAAAGCTTTTGTCTTCAGCAAACCTCATGGCCAGTTCCTCATTGTTCCTATTGAAGTGCACATGTGCTCTTTTCCAGCTAATGTCTGAGGAAACCAGGGCACAAGGAGGACAGGAGCTGCACACCAGCTGTCATCCCAGGGCAGGTATTGGTGACACAGCCATGGGATTTGAATCTAGATCTCAAAGTTGAGCTATCGTTGGAATATGGAGTTACTGCATAGATAAAGTCCTACAGAGTTGTCCCAGCCTAAGTTCCTCCTCTACAGAAAGGACTAATTAAATTTATTGTCCTCTTCTGAAGAGTGCTGGTGTGAGCTTCAGCCATACAGTCTCTGCTGTGCAAGATGTTAAAAGACCAGGGGGCAGAAAGCAGCTAGCATGCTACAGCACTTGTTTGGAACTTTAGTTGTTACTGCACGATGTCTTGGGTTTTTCTTTAGGAGTGTACTCACTATTCAAGTAGAGGAATTATAGGGCATAAATGAATGGCTTTCAAGGTCCAGGAACAGATTGCACTGCTACACAGGGAACTGTGGAACTGGCTGGCTCAAGTAAACGACCCTCACACAAGAGCAGGTCCAGCTAGTCTTGAAGAAGATAGGAAATTACTAAAAGTAATGTAAATCATGCAGAATCGTATGTGCAGGTATGTAGGAAGCCAGGAAACAGCAACGATGTCTGGTCTCCACCGAGCATCGTCAGAGCCAGCCAGCATGGGTCTGCCTCTCCCAGGCCTTGTCCTGCAAAAAGCACTGGAATGGTACTGCACTGATGCATTAACACTGTACTGCTGCTTTGCTTTGTTGTGTCTTATTATAAACTTGGTTGGAGTGACAGTTTACATGCTAATCAGCTTTAGGTTTTCATACAGACATTTTTAGCTCAACTCCTGACAGTCCATTGGGTTTCTGCACTCTGAAGACTGTGAGGAACCACCTGAAGCACAAAGCTCTCTTTCACCTGTACAGAGAGTTCTTTCTTTTCTTTTCTTTTCTTTTCTTTTCTTTTCTTTTCTTTTCTTTTCTTTTCTTTTCTTTTCTTTTCTTTTCTTTTCTTTTCTTTTCTTTTCTTTTCTTTTCTTTTCTTTTCTTTTCTTTTCTTTTCTTTTCTTTTCTTTTCTTTTCTTTTCTTTTCTTTTCTTTTCTTTTCTTTTCTT